ACTGAATTACCAGATATGCCTGTTTCAATACAAAATCAGATTAAGAAGATAAATGTAAGAAGTGTCCTTATCATAAACAGGAAATCCTTCAATAATGATGTATTATTACCTGAAGTTTACACAGTACTGACAACATTAGTCATAATGAATACTTTCTTTTTGTCTCAATTCACATCATAACTCTTCTTTAGACAGGTTATTATTTTTAAGCAGAAATTTTTATCAACTGAAAACAATGGCAAACAGTGTTCATTATATCAATGGTGAACAGTAAAAATTTATGGTGTCATTTACAATTTTGTTACATCAAGTAAAATTTGTCAATTGATATATAAAACATGTATCACATTTGAATTTAGAAAATACAGTTCAAGGACTGATGCATATGACTTAATGTCTGGTGAAAAATAAGATGAAATGATATAAGGTATCCATAATAGTTTTCTATATTCAAATAGAATTCTATCAAGTAGGATTTAAGGTTTTCATAAGAGATATTAATATAAATGGTGTGGTCTGGTGGTTTGTTGTGCCACATTGTATTTTGGCTATATGCCAATGTTTTGGTGGAATCTGCACCTCCTTCTTCAGGATTGCACTTCAGCCATAAAGATGAAAACTGTATGTCAGTCTGAAATGTTGGCATACAGTAAAAATATTATGGCACCACAAACCAGAAGACCCCCACCTATAAAATTCTACCTGCTTCGCAAACAATATACAAGAAGATTAACATTGTATGAAGTATATAACATCGAGATATAAAACATTCATATACAACATTTTAAATTTGACATGTCTCTGACAAGATAAAAGAAAAATGTTCTTAATGTCCTTATATAACATACGAGTCCCTAATGGACCAATCTAAATCACAATGGGAAAAAAAGCCGACCTTCCATACAACAATTCACACAAACCTTCAAACTGGCTGGAATATTAAATACAGATATGTAGATAAGCAAGCAGGCAGATATGACATGTACTTTCCAGACACTGTTTTATGCAATATGTGTATTATGACTGAAAATGTAGCTGTTTCATGCAAGTATGATACAAAAGTAACAACATATATTTGATGACTTACTGTACATTTTCATTAGTTTTAATATTTGTAAATTTTTTCCTTCATATGTACATTTCTGAGGTCGAATACAACTCAGTGCAGTGTATTTCACTGTACAGGTAGGACTCTGTTTACGCCACGGTTAGGTTCCTGAGATTTCTGGCGTAAAATGAAGCAAAAATATAATGGGAACATATGTAAATACACTAGGTTCCATTCCAAAATTTTCAGTAATCAACACAAAATACTTGAAAAATGTTTTATTTTATGAAATTTACGTATTAAAAATTGTATAATGTTTAAGAAAAAGAAAGAAAATTTACTGCTGTCACTGTCAATGATTTATGTTGTTTTTAGTCTCTTGTCCAGACGTACTTGATAACACACGTTTTGGGGGCATGGTGGTAGGTATTTGAAAATATTAATAAAAAGAAGACTGCAAGATGGACCACAAACACACAAACAGCTAGAAAAACTGAGAGCAACTAGGAAGGAAAAAGAAGGCACTTGTTAAAGGGGCTGGAGAGGAGTGGCCATCAAGGGTGGGAGTAGGACCAATCAGACTTAACCTTTTGGCGTCCTGTTCTCTAGACACCAGTGCATGTTTGTCAGTTCACTTGCAGTTCTTAGTCCATGGTTAATGAAATTTGCTTTTTCTCGTGGCATTTTATATTCCATTTTTGTTTAATTATTTAAATTCTAGGTCGTAGTTAATCATTTAGTATTATAGTTTTATTACAATATTGGGACCATCTGTGTCTAGGAAATTGGGCAGAGTCATGACTCATCACCCCTCCAATCGTGATCTATGAGAGGCGCAAAAGTGAAGCGGCGTAAACCGAGCCCTACCTGTATAATATTCATATGAAAACATTTTTGTAATATATTACAAAAATGTATCTGATAAACTAGCATACAAGGTCTGCCCAAAACTAAATGAGAAAGAATTCTTCTCAAATCAAATCATGCAAGGATGCATCTGGACTGAACGTATCCTGACATGTTTACAGCCCATTCCACTGATCCAGTTATTCATGGCTGGGATTTGAACTTACGTGCACTGGCCATGTGCTGATTTAGTGATGCTTGAGAATACAGAACAAGATGAGTAAAAATTTTGTGAGGTAATAAAAATGGTGACAAATCATCAATTGAAGCCAATAGCATTTGGAAATACAACATTGAGCATAAGATTTCAGTAATTTCATCATATCAAAAAAGGATAGACACCTGGCAAATGATGATCATCTTGAGTACTGTTGAAACCATAGAAACTATAAACTTGTAGTTCAAGTGCAAGGTTCTGTGTGAATTGACACAAAATTTACTAATTATAAAATTGCCAAGGAAGAAGCAACTTCTTATGATTCATGTCCAGATATTTTAACTGAAGATTTGGAAAAAATGAAACTGCTTGTCTGTGGCTTCTGACTTAAAATCTGCCAAAACTGATAAAAACATCTTAGAAAAAATAACAACACAATAATTATGACAACGGAAATAAAAATTCTAGTGCACTGTAAAACCAAATCATTGCTGACTTAGATTAATATGGTTTTGTACACCATGAGTATGCCCACCAGGTCAAACTACTGCTTCTTCTTCCAGATGTTATCACACCTATAGGTTGACTTTTGCAGAGGAGTTTGTAATTGTCGCTAACTGCCAATTCTTGCATTTCACTTAACACTGTCCTCTCCTTTCTACATCTTTCTTAACTTGGTCTATCCATTGTGTATGTGGTCTACCCCTGTGTTTTCTGCCACTCACCTTCATTTCCAGTAATCTTTATGATATTCTATGCTCATACATTCTTTTAATATGTTCAAACCATCTCAATTCACTTTCCTCAATTTGGTTATATATTTCCTTCCTATTGAGATTTCCATTAATGTACATGTTTCTAATTCTACCTTTTCCAGTTTTTCCCACTATATTCCTCGGGCATTTCATCTCAGCTGCTTGTAGTATACTTTTCCCTCTCTTAGTACATGCCCATATTTATGCATCATATAATGATGAAAGCTGTCCCACTATATTGCTATGTAGGCACTTGGGGGCAGAGGTGGT